AGCTATTGGCTAGTTTTATCGTTCTCCTTAATTATCTGTTTAGCTTCTGGCCCAGGTAAAATGAGTCTGTAAAGAAGAAAATTCAAATCAATATTCAATTTCATAACTCTTGAAAGTTTAAAGAGCATTATAACAATTTTCGATAAAAAGATACGCAAACTTCTCTATTGCTATTTACATGGAAAGTGCACAGACAAACTACATTTCTTGGTTCCACCTTGTCTAACCATCACGGCTAGGAGCCACCATTCCACTTGTATTGTAGCAAACACATCGCATTCCCTCCCTATTCCATCGGTGGGAAGTAAATTCCACTCGAACAGCTTCTTTCCACGAATCACTGCTCTGTGGAACAGACTCACAGAGAGGATGTTTCCCCGATTTTAACCCACCCAAGAGTTAGCGGTTATCTTCCCCTCCTAACCGCATAAACTTCCCTTAAATAACCCTCTACCTCGAGTGGCCTCTGGGCCTTGTACAGGGCAAACCTCACTGCAAAAAACAAAAACAAAAAAACAAAAAAAAAAAAAACAAAACAAACTAGCAGACACATACGCAAAGTTCATTGTATTATCCTAGATTTCAAGTCAGATCAACATACTATTAGATGAGTGAAGATACTACTACTACTACTACTAATAATAATAATAATAGAAAATAAAACAATAACATTAAATATGGCATCGGGGAGATATCTCATAGCGGAAGCGGTTATAGATAAAGGCACTTCGAGCACTGCTTGTAGTATATTCTTTTTGCGGTATGAATTTCTTCGGGCTTCATCAGGTGTATATCGATCTATGTAACCTACAGGGAATTCAGAACTGAACACTTTATTTAATCTACGGGGGTAGACTGTTCTCGTTCCACCAGCCATTAATTTATTTTAGCTTTTAAGAGTAATTTCCTGAGAAATTCGGAGTAAGGACATAAGTCAGATGTTTCTTCATTTAGATACCCCCCACCCCCTTCTCTCACTCTCTCTCTTTTTCTCTATTGAATGTTGTTGCCATATATGGTCTGGTGCCCCACTGTTCATTTCGAGGTTTTCGACAAAATCCAAAGACGGATATGCAATGTGTATAGGTCCTGACCTGGCATCTCGTCTACAGTCATTTTCTCACAGACGTGATGTGGCTTCCCTCTGTCTTTTCTACAAGTATTTTCATGGCAACTCTTCTGACGAGCTTTTTTCACTGGTGCCCCAACTGCATGAATTTAATTTAGGTTGGCATCATGGTCCCACTCTTTTACTGTCAAACGGTTATATATAACCGCCTCTTCTACTCTAACAGCTTGCTCTACTCTTACACTTCCCGTCAGTGGAACTCCCTTCCTCTTGCTTGCTTCCATGATAACTATAAATAATCAAATGTAATGTCAATCGACATCTTCTGATGCCTTGACCTTGAGCCCTGTCCTTCTCTTTATCCTTTCCGCAAACACCCCCTCTTTACTCTTACTCTTGCTCTCAATCCTCTGTAACCCCTTGCGTGCTAGTGGCACTCCCGCCTTGCTTGGAGTGAAATGCGTAAAAAAAAAAAAGTTTCTTGTCTAATGGATATCAGTTATCAGTTATCTCCTGTTAATTCCCCTCTCCAAGTTCTCCACTGCCTTAACCAGGTATTGAACTCACAACTCGTCAGTGGTCATTGAATTACTGATTTTAATAATAGGTATGATTGAGAATTTTTCAGTTCCGCTTGTAAATATGCTGTTGGGACCAAGTAAATGGTTAAAGAAATAACAAAACAACTGTTGCAGATATATCATATATTACACATGGCACAGTGGATAAAGGCGTTGGTTAGACCCAGTGACAGGACCCAAAGAGTGTGAGTTCAATACCCGGTTAAGGCAGTGGAGAATTTCCGAGAGAAATTAACAGGAAATAACTGATAACTGACATCCATTAAAAATGGCACGTGGAACTAGAACAGTCTACCCCAGCGAGCGAAATAAAGGGTTCAGTTCGATATTGCGACCACCTGAAGAAGGCCGGAGTGTACAACAGTTGAAACGTTGTGATATATATGGCAACAAAGATGAGGACAATAGTCCGAATAATGTAAGTAGTGTAATTAATACCTCATCTCAGAAATATAGACAAATAAAAAAATGAGCAATACTAAAAATAAGGACTAGACGAGATATCCCGAGACATGAGCAGTGATTATTTCCGAGAAAATCTGAAAGAGAAAAATCGTGATTTAAAGGCAAATAGAGATTTGCTTGATTGTGAAACTCTTTGTAGTCGAGTGCTCAAAGTATATTGGATTCTTCTTCTTCGTGCCGTGTCCCTCCAGGACGTTGGGGATCATGGCTCTCCACAATTTCCTATCATTTATAGCTCTTAATAAATTGCCTCTTTTTGCTATCTCTCCCAAACCCTCCTCTACCATCCATTCACTCAAGCTCATCAGTTAGGTTAGGAGTTGTTTTCTTCTTCCTTTCATTCAATCTGTCCTGTGAGTACCAAATTTTCCAAGCCCTCTTTCCTCTTTCTACCATATAGGAAGACTAATATTACATAACGATTTAGTACTATTTCTGCAAATGGAGCGCAGGTTCGAATCCTACCGGAAGACGCATTTTTGTTTATTCATTTTCTTGAATAAATTTGCAGGACGGTTGACAATAAAAGTATTGTCTAAAATAAACAGAGCGTCTACAAAAAAAAAAAAATTAAAGTAATAAAAACATAGATACATCGATATATATATATATATATATATATATAGATAGATAGATAGATAGAGAGAGAGAGAGAGAGAGAGAGAGAGAGAGAGTGAGTGAGTGAGGGAGGGAGGGAGGGAGGGAGGGAGTGAGAGAGTATATAAATGAAAAAAACTTATGTCCCTACTCTGAATTGTTCAGAAATTACTCTTAAAAGGTAAGATAAATTCAATTGAATTATATTCCTTCCATCATGACCGCTGGCCCCTAAAATTCAAGTACTGCTGCCCCTGAGGCAACATTTAGCTCACATGACATTCTCACAGGCTTCATTCATCACTCCAACACTTTTCCTCAGCACAAGTGCAGATACGGCACAAGGTCAGGTTTTTAAATGAGAAGCTCCCACACGCGTAGGTGTTTGTTGAGGGAGAAATAAATAACCTAATCTCCATGACACCTACCGTAAACGCATCGGTGCAATGCAATTCCCTTATTGTATAATAGAAAGGTGCTACTCTGAAGTTGGAATCTACATATGTACCCCAACTTGCTTGAAGATGAGACATGAGTGATTCGTACCAAAAGGTCAAGAAAGAGTTTTTTGTCACAATTATTTGCACTATTTGAACCAGCGTACTCAACATCCCAGAGGCAGAACCATTGTTTTACGAACGAGAATGACAGACGACACGCATAATCTCAAGCATTTAAGTATTCCATACCACATGCTAAACGAGTCTATCAATAGAATACAGCGACCCTATTTTCCCTCCCGAGGCCAATATACTCATGATTAGTGGGAATTGCCGATGAGATATGTATTTATAGTTGGGACAAAAATGATCTTAAATGAAAAATCAACATCATCTACAAAGTACTCCAAGACATAGGACTCAAAACAGAAACTATGACTTGGGATAAGAATGAATGTAGTAAGCGCACATGAAATTAGTAAATACTAAACATTTAAAATACCTCGGTATATGGAACAAATTTGTATAGAAGAAAAAGAAATGGAACATAGAATAGACTGCACTAGTGGTAGTTTCTCTCCAAATCGCCAATTGCTACAAAACCAAAACATCAACCTGAAAACTCGAGTCATGTTTTTAAATAGCCTTGTCAGGGCGAGGCTTTCACATGGATGCAATTCATGGCGCCGAACTCGTTCAGAAATATCTAAACTGACAGCTGCAGACGACCGCTTTCTAAGATCAATGGTTAAAATGATTTCATGAGTGAAGCCTGCGATCTTGACGATGGCCATACTTTTTCAAACATTGTGGATTGATGCTACAGAATCACAAACAAAGAAATGTGTCAAATAACAGAAACGTCATCACTTTAAGACTTTCAACAGCAGCAACAATTAAAATGGATATTACATGTAGGTCGAAGAGAAAATAATGTCATAATCAAAATGTTAACTTTCCACACTAATTCAAATAAAAGATTAGGAAGGAAACCTCCATCAGTACTGGAAAGATCGATAACAGCTACTGGACTTAAGAAAACTATTTTCCTGAAAGTGGCATTATAAGGAAACATTTAATATTACGATTATTAATATGTCTTTAATCTTAATTTTACTTGCTGTTCATCGCAACTCAGACCATTGGTTCTCAAGCTTTTTGGGGCCATGCTCCGCCTAAAATTCTGATGCTTCCCCCCACATGACATATTACTGTTATTATTCAAAAAGTCCAAAAACGCCATTAACTTGGCCTAAAAAAGCTTCCAAAGAACACGGCATCCATGAAAGAGAAACAGAAAAGAGCAAAAGGACAGTTGAAGTATTCAGGAAGAAATTACTAAGAAATTGCTAAAAATAATATATATATATATATATATATATATATATTATTTTTAACAATTTCTCTCTCTCTCTCTCTCTCTATATATATATATATATATATATATATACAGTACATACTTAATTACATGTACATCATAGACGCAAATATTTTTTATGTTTGCATACTGTATATGCACCGTGTGCATTAATTCGAAGACACATACACTCATCCTCACAAGAAAAAAATTGACGGTTAATAAATCATTCACGAATTGCACCCCCTTAAAAATCAAGTTGATCCCCCCCATCCATTGCTGTTGCGGACCACGTCACTTTACGGTCATAAAATCATAATTGTTGAGTTTCTTATTCGAAGCGTAAACAAAGCCATTTCTAATTAATTAATGGATTTTATTTTATTTTTAATCCGACATATTTTTTATTGCTTTACTATATATATATATATATATATATATATATATATATATATATAATTCTAACATATCGCACATATAGTGTTGGCGTT